TTTTTTATTATATTATTGTTGTTATTAGGAAGATGTTGCTGCCCATCTCCTGTTTGTCTCCCTCTGTCGCCTCTTACGACACTCACGGGAAGATATGGGGTAGTGGATATTCTCAACCGCCACTACACGGCAAAATTACTTACAGAAAAATAATAACTTCTATACGTAGCATTTATGCGTAACAATATCCCGGTAACATATTACACTCGTGGCAGCTGGCGGACGGAATCGCTGACACGATGATTCCGTCGTGGGAAATAGCAGAAATTGAAGATGTAGAACGTTCTTCAAATATGTTTTTTTTTATTGCTGAGTTAGACCTAGCTGGTGCAGGCTCCTAGTGGAGGCTGATTGTCGGCCAGACGGGTTATTTCAGAACCAGTTCTAAGTGGAGAACACTTTACAGCGGAACCTAATCATCATCCAAAATTGTAGTAGACTTAGGAACGGCTAAGGCTTAATGTCGACCTTGGTGGTTTTGGGAACCTCAAATTCGGATGCCAATGTTATTTGTGATCTTCTGCTTGGCACTCCACTTCTGACACCAATTTTTTGGAGGCCGATCCCGTTTAAGTTTTTTTTAACCCACTAAGTAACCCTAAATGTTTATTAGGAAAATTCACACACCAAATTGATATATTTCCTAACTTCCGAACTCTAATGCGTCTCGAAATCAATATCCCATTAACCCGGGGCTCTGAGTCTAACTGATCATTAAAAATGGAATTTAAATGAACATGGAAAAGAATTGCTGACTAAAGTCATATGAAGGAAAATCACCGTGTGATTAAATAAATGCTTCCTTAGATGCTGCCTTGTTAAAAGGCATATAACAGTTTATCACCCTTATTCTATAAAAAAAACTTCGATATAAATGAAACTAAGGTGTCTATCTGTAATATTGAAATGACTGCCTTTGTTGAGCTGAGAGCTCAACAAAGAAGAACATGACAGAGAACGTGCCATTAAGATATAATTAATATTTTTTATAATTTTCGTCTGTCTGTCCGGGTTAATCTTCGACATGGCTGAATCGATTATAACGAAACTTCTCAAAAATACATACAACAACACCGGGAGTAATCTAGGCTATATTTATATGAATATTTTGGAAATTGAAATAAGGATAAAATAAATGGCCCTTCATGATTAACTTAAATCTAAATAACGCCACATCAATAGATTCTACCAAGATGTAGGCGGGGCGAGTAGATAGTCTATACATATATTTCAAATGCGCAACTTGACAACTATTTAAATATCGTCTTTCGATATTAAATCATTAACTTATATAATACTAGCGTAAGGACCGAGCCCACCGAACAAGTAAAATGAATCAGTGTGTTGGCCCTAAAATTACAGTTTAGTGCAAACGTGAATCGGTCGTCAGTGGTGCGCGCCTTTTCCTGACCTGACAGAACAGATTTGCCTTTCATTAATATGCCTAGTTGTGTGGTAAAAGGATGCAAAAATTACGATGCAAAGATTAAAAAGGACCATAAGATATCTAGTAAATAACCTTATCTTAATTTTATTACAGTAAAATTATTATATAAACGCATTTTTAAAGTTTTATTTTACAGTTAGTCAGTTTAGTTAGGTTACCAAGATTAGGCCAGCTTAGGCCGCCCAAAAATATTTTACATGGAAAATAAAATTATACCATTTGATTAAAACTACTTTTACGGATTTTTCTCTTTTTTATTCTGCATGGATCGGACCATAAACAATAATTAAAAATCTGAACGTACTTCGAGTTAACATTGACATCGGGACGTCAGTCACCTCAGTCCCCTGTGACCATGGGTGCTGGAAAGCACCCGAAACGTCGGGAATTAAAAACCAATTAAAATTAAACGCGATAAAATCCGTAAAATTAGTTTAAATCAATGTGTAGTGTTAGCGTAAACATAAGAAATCACTATTATACTATGAGTCAACAATTATATCACGTTTGATGTTTCATGTTAGTTTTTCTAGTTTATCTATACCGAAACGTATAGATAAAAATTTTTGACGGTTTCATATTTATTTCCGTTTTATTTTTGTCTAAAGAACTTAGTGTAAGCTAAATTTTGAAAATAGTTACCCAATATATTATATACTCTAAGAAGAGTAAAACGAAATTAGTACAAAAGAAATTATACATAATTAATTGAAACTGAAAACCTGATTCATAAAATATTTTTAAATTCTGTTTGAAACCGATTGTTTCTGCAGCATAGAGTTTTTATCGTGGTAGCCCCACATTATAGTTGTATCAAGGATACAACATAAATGTATCGATCGAGCACTGATTGACCAGAAAGTAATCCTAAGCTTATTTAACAAAAAAAAACGCGGCACTCATTTTCAATACAGAAATTCTCGATATCGTAGGCTTATTGTTAAAAAGTAAAAGGACCCAATAATAATACAAGTCGTTCGACCTTAAGGTAAAATTAAGGTATTTTCGCTTAGTATTATTACGGTACTACATACACTATGAAATAATGGTAAAAATACGATCATTATACTACAAAATCTGACCCTGGTTACGTCGTGTTATGACGTTTGTATAAATGACATATGCGCTACTTTTTCTAGTATGTAGAAGTTAGGAGTAAAATATTTAGATGGGCATATCCTTTCTTTTACGCCATCCTGCATGTTCTTTTTGCCTGGCGTATGTAGACTATGAGAAAGCCTTTGATTCCGTCGAAATTTGGGCGGTGCTACAGTCCCTTCAGCGGTGCCAAGTTGACTGTCGGTATATCGAAGTGCTGAAGTATTTGTACAGTAGGGCTACGATAGCTATCCGAGTACAGAACCAGAGCTCGAAACCTATCCAACTGCAGAGATGTGTAAGACAGGGTGACGTTATATCCCCGAAACTCTTCACCGCTGCATTGGAAGACGTTTTCAAGCTACTGGACTGGAAAGAATACGGTATTAACATAAATGGCGAGTACATCACTCACCTTCGATTTGCGACGATATAGTCCTTATGGCAGAATCGCTGGAGGACCTAAGCACTATGCTCAATGACCTCAATGGTGTCTCCCAACGGATAGGTCTTAAGATGAACATGGACAAAACAAAGATCATGTTTAATGTCCATGTCAAACCTATGCCGGTAGTTGTTGGGAGCACTAAGCTCAAAGTTGTTGACGAGTACGTTTATCTGGGACAAATAGTCTGACTAAGTAGGTATAACTTCAACCGAGAGGTCAATCGACGGATTCAACTCGGCTGGGCTGCGTTTGGGAAATTAAGACACATCTTCTCGTCAGGTATACTTCAAAAACTGAAAACTAAGTTGTACAAACAGTGCGTGTTGCCAGCGATGACCTACGGAACCGAGACGTGGTTCTTCACTGCTGGCCATATGAGGACGCTCAAGGTCGCTCAGCGAGCTATGGAGAGGGCTATGCTCGGATTTTCTCTGCGTGATAGACTCAGAAATGAGGTTATCCGCAGTAAAACCAGAGTGACCGACGTAGTCCAACGGATTAATAAGCTGAAGTGACAATAGACTGGCTATGTAGATCGAAGAATAAACAGCCGATGGGGAAAAATGGTTCACGAGTGGAAGCCTCGTACAAGTGGGTGAAGTTAAGGGTGACCCCCAACTAGATGGAATGACGAGCTGGCAAGACATGCAAGAAGCTCAGGACCGTGTTTTGTGGCGTTCCTTATAGGAGGCCTATGTTCAGAGGTTGACTTGTGAGGGGATGTAATGCTGATGATGATGATCCTTTCTTTTAAAATCATTATATTATATACAACCGATAAGAATATACGTACACAAATATCCGTTACAAAATCTAATCAATAATAAAACTATATGAAGGAGTATTTCGTAAAACGTAGTTTTATAATTATTCTTTAAATAAAGAATGCCGTGTAGTGGCGGTTAAGAATATCCACTATCTCATATCTTCCCATGAGTGTTGTCAGAGGTGACAGTGGGAAACAGGCAGGAGATGGGCAGCAGACTCTTTTTGATAACAGCAATTGAAGAAACAAAATAGACAAGGTGCCCTGGGATATTTAGGGATTATCTGAGTAGTGATAATGATTAATAATGACGTAATGACAGTTTGGAGAAATACACGTTTGGCGAGCTATGGAAAGGATAAAGCACGAAGTTTCTTTGCAAGACGGAAGTTGTGACGGTTATAAAAGCATTAATAAGGGACGACAGTGTAACCGACATGGTGCAACAGATCATCAGACTGTTGATAACGTGGCAATGCGCTGGCCATTTGGCTCAAAGTATACAAAACCTATATAGAAAAAGCTTCTAGACTACTTTCTCGTACTTGCAGGCCAGCGTAGTGCGGTTCCCCACTACATGACTTGATGACTCGAATATACGTGCAGGTTATTGATAGATGCAGATAGCTAAGCACTGTGATGAGTCTTTGGGGAGTACAATATCCAGTAGTAGACTAGTGATGGGCTGAAATATAATGATGTAAAAGTTTTCAAAAATATTTTAAATATTTTTAAATATAATTTGAACACAATAAGAGTCAGGTTGCAGTTAAACTGTAGTTGTAGCAGGAATAGGTTGGCTCAATCGGGTTAGGACCAAGCTCTCATAGAATACCAGCGTAAAATAGTAGCTTATTGCTGCTGGTTCGTATGGTGACTAAGGTTCTTCCCCTTTTTACTGGAAACGAGGCATCTCATCTTAGTCCTGATGGGTGATAAATGCATCTTTATTTTGATTCTTAATCGAAAAAAGATGAAGATATTTACCACAGCATCCACTTACCATCAGGTGGACTGTGTGCTTATCCCCCTAAACGTATAAAAAACTAATGAAAGTAATTAGAAATTGGGTGATTTGAGCAAGAGACCTCTCGTTAATACCTACTTACACAGCTGGCAATAAATGCCGATGATATATTTATAATAATAATATATCTATAAAAGATTTGAAAGCGACAGCTGTAAGTATGACAAGTTCCTTACCACATTGCAGCGCATTACAGTGTGACGTCGTGTGACGTATGGCCGATAGGAACTACGCTTACGACCCGGTTGGGACCGGAGCGTCAGTCAACCAACAATCGTACAGGATGGAGGCGGGACAGTTGTGGCGACAGTATGTGATTGCAGGCGTCGGTATGTCACTATCAATTTTAACGTGTGATTTTTAAATTTGTCAAGTGATTTTAGAATATCTGCGATCAAAACTAGCAACTTATTAAGAATATCGTTCAAAAATTAGAAGAATTTGCGGATATTTTATCTAAAACAGTTTCGTTAAATCGGTAATTAATATTAAAAGTAAAAGTTTAAATGCTTGTAAATAATAAAAATAATTACGTTTAATCAAAACATATTTTTAAACACGTGTTGATTAAAACCTATAATTAATGACATAAAACACTTGCAGTGTTATCGTAATTTATGTATTGTATAAATTCGGCGACGCGAAAAAGACTAGGGTAACTTTTTTAATTAGAAAAGCCGTCACTAATGTGTTTATAATTATGGCAGACATTTAAAACGTTCTAATTACTTAGCCGTATCCGAAAAACTATGAAAAAATTTACCGAATATCATATCACACACACACACACATATATATATATATATATATATATATATATATATATATATATATATATATATATATATATATATATTAAATTTTACGTCCTAATTATTTTCAACATAGTGCGTATAATTATAACAAATAAATTAAATATTTCGAATAGGCACGTTTAATGCACTGAGTCGCAACATCAAAGTCTGCTTTGAGTCTTCAGAAACAGTCAAAATGCTAATACGTAACAGAGGAATCACTGCGACGCAATATACCTTCCTTTTAAAAATTAATTTAAAATTTAAATTATACCTTCTTTGGTCAAACTCCAGCTCAACAGAAATATTGCAAAACTTGAAAGAAGAACTAGACTTTTCTTGAAAGTTTAATTCTTCTATTCGATACTAGATGGCGCTGTTGGGAGAGTTCCAGAAAGATCCTGACACTCCTATTTCTGATATTTGATACCAGATGGCGCTAGTGCAATCAAATGTGGCGCGCAACATTAATATATAAAATCACACATAAACAGGTTTAATACTATCGAAAAACAACGAAGCACCGAGCAGGTAAAGCGATTCCGTATTGACAGTTTATATTCCTGGAGAAATTTGATTGAAATTTCGAATTAAAGTATCATCGCTGTTAGAATTACTTACATTTTTGGAAATAAATATTTCACATTTATTGGTATTTGGTTCAAGACCAATATTTTTAAAATTTTGATAATATGAGTAAGATCACTGAGGATGTCATCTGTTTTATCTCCCAGTGTATCGTCGTTCAGATATTCAGCTTGGATTTTAAGTTTGAAATAGTAGGTTGAATTCCCAAACTAAAAAAGTTACACCTAATGGATCACTCTGCTGAACACCGACAGCAGACTCAATAATATAGTTTTGATAAAACAAGTTCGAATTTTGACTGTAACGTTGCGAAACGTAATGATAAATTTCGGGGGTATTGTTAGCCACTTCTTTCAGCAGCATTATCCTGTCAAAAGAGTTAAAAGCATTTCTAAGGTCAACATTCAGAAGAACATCTGCATTAGAATTTGTTAAGAAAGTACGCACCGAATGTATCGCCGCCTTACAGCCACCTTTAGTGCCAAGTCCTAGTTGAGTATGTCTTAAGGTTTGAGATTGCCTGCCAGCTAATTTTGAAGTTAAGCGTCGAAATGTAGAACTAACAGCAATAGGACGAATACCGTTATCCTTTTTTTGAAGGCACACAATCTTGCCCCTTATAAGTAGGGAATGAAATTGAGATTGACATTACCAGAAAGCATAAAATTACAAACTTTTGTAATGTCATTAAGAAGTACTCTACCGGCATCACCTGCAGACATGCGTACAAGATCTTTGAGATGTTGAGGCGTAATCCCGTCAATGCCGCCGGCAGAGCCATTCGAAATTGACAATATTGCGTCTAAAGTTTCTTTTTCAGAAAGGAGATTGCCCACTCTTCATAGACACTTCGGCCATGGGTGCCCACATAAAATAGCATATAGATAAGATAGTGTGCAATTAAAACAATGAAATGGTTAAGGAATTGCGTTAAAAAGTCGGGGTTTTGAAGATATATAAGTTTTTATTTTCACAAATGCAGTTTTTTTAACAACTATTTTTATTGATTTTATCGCGTTTTATTTTTTTGATTTTTAATTCCTGACATTTCGGGTGCTTTCCAACAACCATGGTTACGGCAGACTGAGGTGACTGACGTCCCAATGTCAGTGTTAACCCGGAGTACCTTCAGATTTTTAATTTTTATTTATGGTCCGATCTACAGAATGAACTTACTGTATCTTGAAGTCCTGCAATGGTATGCTTGGGGTTAATTTTAATTTCATTAATTACAGGGTCTTAAGCAGGTGGTAGTTGCCTTCTTCTCTATTAATTTTTTTTTTTTTATTTCAATAGTCTCAGGTATCGGTCCTTGATAGGAATTGATGTACCTTTTAGAGGATTTGTGGTCTATGAAAGCTTTTTATACGTATATCTGGTTGGGGCCGTCCAGGATATGATCACAAACTGCAAACTTGATGCTTCATGTCAGCTCGCTTCAAGATGTAGCCAATCTTGTCTGTGACACCCCTGACAAATGCTAGTACTGCACATGCTTGACTGTGGCTGGCTTCACTCGGTCACTGTGACGTAAGCGCGGGCCTGAAGCTTGTTGACGTGCAGAACCTCCTTGACGTGCTGAAGCTCGACGGCTCGATGTTTGCTGCCACAGATCCTTTGTGCTCTCTCTAACAATGATTTGCTCACGGTAACTAACTGTGAAGGATAATGGCGAAATTCATTGTTTTCTATACACAGTGTTACCTATGGTGTTGTTAGAATTTTGGATGACTAACGCATTTAGGAACGCTAAGGAATTACTTGCCTCTAATTTACACATCAATACATCATTCAGGAACTGAGCAGGAAGCAAAATATTAGTCTGATGCCGTACCCAACCCAAATAACATATTACTGTCATAATATGGGCACAGCATCCAACAGTTCGACGGACGACAGTACTTTTTAATTGCACTTCTACCAGAACCATTGCCACTAATTAAAATATACATAAAATACACTTTACGACTAATGGTGATGACTTGCAATTCTAGCCCTAAGTAAAGATCAGCTAGGGCTTAAGTTTATTCCTTCCATAATGCTGCTCCTCTGGTTATCACAGAGTTCTATCCGGTAGCAACCATTAAATCTTATATGCTCACCATAATAGTAGCGAGCTTGCTTTAATTGGTATGTGACACAAGCAATTAATATTAAGTCGCTGTAAGTTAAAACAGGAAATTCCCTAACATTTTAAAGTCTACATTTATATTTCTAAAGTCTGCCTGCCCTAGTTCTATTTAGATTGCTTTCCCTAGCATACTCAGACAAATCATTATTTGTCTCCATATTTTGGTGAACTATTTCAAGTATTTGAGCCGCATCATCCCTGTCCCTTATTTTTCTGTGGAATTTATTAATTATAGCAGCAGCCACAGCAGTCTATCATCAAATGTGTAGCTCTGTTATAGTAATTTTGAAGAAATATTTTAAATTCAGTTTTAAAAATGCCATTCACCACCTCTACTACTCATATCGACACATAGTCACGGCTCTGGATTTATTAGCATATCTTGTCATTAACTGAGATTCACCATCTGCTGGAGACATTTCTGCGGCCCTTAGACATCCACATCTATCCTCTATTACAAATCAAAATGCAGATGTGTTGTCACCCGTGAGTACTAAGATCATTTTCTCGTTTCCAGTAAAAAGGGTGTCCGGTTCTCTACACTCACCAAACAAAACACAGCAGCATTAAGCTACTATTTCACGCTGGTATTCTGTGAGAGCATGGTCCTTCCCCGGTCGAGCCGACCCATTCATGCTACAACAATACTTCTAATATAATTGCAGCATTTCTCTACCACGTATAACACACGTACATAGTAATTGTAATCACAAAAGAGACATACTCGCAATTCTGATGGAACATTGAGTCCATTGGAATTGTTACAACCAGGTAAAAAACATTGATTTGGTGTTAGTGGCGTTTTTAAATAATTAGTTAGCAGTACACTGTGTGATGTATGATCTAAGCTTTGTTGTTCTGGGTGCAATACATTACTCACTTCAGATTGCAACGAGGATGGACTAGATGATTCAGATGGTTCCCGTTCTGCAGTTGAATGTGATGCTGTTCTATCAGTTCATTGCCACGGCATGACAACGGCAACTGAAATAATGTAAAATACAAAAAATGAAGTCAAAGTGAAAAAAAAATAGATTTGTTTATTTTAAACTCAAATATAAATAAAATATTTATCAAGTTAAATGTTACTGCATAAGGATGGACTTAATGCCCTATATTATTTAATATTTAAGAACTGACAGACTACCAGCAGTCCAAAAAGAATGAAAAATCAACGGTCTCCTTTCTTGGTAGTTGATAAAAATGGTCAATCTCATAAATAAGCTAGTATGTTTGTCAGATATAGCTTGTGCAGATGTGAAAAAATAAAACAAGTTCTTGAGTTGATATAAAATCAGTGTAAAAACATGTATAATTATCAGATATGAGCATCACACTATAATAAATAGAAAAATGTTAAACACTTACCTACAAAATTATATCCAATTGTTGAGAGATCAACAATTGCATTTTCCAACAAAACAAAATAACACGTTAACACGCAATTGAATTCTTGTGACATAACAGTGACGGGGGCCTACCTGTCAGATTCTATGTTGCCACTTAACTGTCATAAAATCTATGAAACGATATCGATTTTTATTTGATTAATAATTTCATAAAAAGAATAATCTTTGACGCGTTTTAAGTTCTGCACGCTTTTTAAAATATAATTTCCTGTATTTATTGAAATTCTATTTCAAACGTATTTTTAAGAACAGTTAACTTGTGCTGTATTGTTTTGTTATGCTTTAGAGAATTCATGGTAAATCAGCTAGAAATTAACTTCTTGAATTATCATAACATAATTCCATATTAAATGTTATGTTAAGAACAGATAAGAATAACAGTTAAATTGTGCAGTAGCGTTTTGTTA